TAGATATTGTCTTTACCTTTTTCTCTTTGAAAATCTTTAAAATATCACTCTTTATAATATTTCGAGAAGGCATAGCAAACAAAGGTTGGAGACTGTAAGAATACTTTTTGAATTGCACATGATCAACCATTGATAAGGGGTATTCATGCATGATTATCATCTTGGCAAGCTCCCTCATTGTGACATTTTGATCAAAGGAAAAATTTTTTAATGTTGCTTTTCCATCTGCCTTTCTTTGATTTGCTAGCAACACTTGTTGACGAATATCCATTCGAAATCGTTTGTTGCACCTCTCTGAATGATCACACAAATGACTTGTCCCATTCTTAAAAGCACCACCAAGTTTTTTCTTACAATAATTACATATTGCCTTCTATTCATTATTGATCTTCTCTTTTCTAAAATGTTTCCATACTTCTGATTTTAACTTACTTGAGTTATACCCATTATTATCAACTTCAGCACCCTCGTTAGTCACACTTAATGATGGAGTTGTATTTTCATCAGATGTTAGAATAGGAATTTACTGAATTGGTGGCTGATGTGAGGTAGAAGTAGGAGGTGTTGGGGAACACGAATTATCTCCCAAATTAGACATTTCACCTTCATTCATAAAAAAAAAAAATTAGAGTTATTATTTTTTATATTAACAAATAAAGCAACTAAATAAATTAACTGTTATTAAAAGCATAAGGATAACTATTCACAAAGACATCATTCAAAAAATTTAAAAGGAAATTAAGGCACGTAGAGAGAATGAAAGAGAGAGATTATAATTTATGTCATGGAATCTACACATAAGAAGAAGATCAGTGAGTAACAGAGTTTGACAGGCAGAATTTTCTCAATCCAAGTTAAAAGTGTAGTAACAAGAAAATGACAAGGATTAACTTGAAAATTTGAACAATACTATAGAAAAAAGTAAATACCATAAGTCAAGCCTGTAAAAGATTCAGCCAAAGCTAAAAAAAAAAGGTTAAAAATCCTAAAGGCTCACAACAAAGTAATGCACGAATGATCAACCAAATCTAAAAACATGCCAATAATTTTACTTAATAACAGATAATTCACAGGTCCAATTTTAATTACAGAGCATGTCTAAGTATCAATACCTTTATAAAGGTAACGTTATATGTAGACACACCTGTTATGGGTGTTGAACTTTCATTTAGCTTTTAGTAAGTAGGCATATTTTATTAGCATTTTCTATTGATAGAAATTTAATTTATTTCTATTATTAGCCTAGTATAATAATTTACTGGATGATATAATGCACACTTTTGCCATCCACGTGTTGTTCTTAAGAGTTGAATAACAGAGATGAAGATAGTTAATGGTAGCAGACTATTTAAAAACAACTAAATTTAATCTAAACATTGGCTGATCAAAGAAATTGCTATTTGTGCCTTGTCAGTGAAATCTTGGTTTCTTCTTCTGACAGGCTGTCAACGCTTAAGAGTGGGAATCTTTGTAACTCTAAGATAGTTTTCATCCTACATGTGTTTTGATGTAATTAAGGTTTACAGCGTGTTTGAATTGTTAATGCTTTTGCAAGTTTTATTTACGTACTATAATATTACAAGTTTTCTTTTTTCTTTATGGTAGTTGCATTTGTTTGTGTTGCTGATTTTGTTCTTTTATAGCAAAACAATATACACATTTTGTGTATAATCTGTCCTGAACTATAGCAGCATGGTTTTACATTTTGCATTTTACATTCACATTTTACCCATTTTATTCCTGGTTTTTACTTCATGATTGTTTCAAAATTCAAAGTAAGCCATATAACACTAACATCGTATCTGTAGGTAATCCAGTATTCGTATTCTGCTTTGAATATCTTTGGCAGTTGTCCATTTTGGCTCACCTACCTCAAGTCTGATATTTTCCTTTCCAATTAAAATTTTATATCAACTCAAACAATATTGTATCTGACTTAACCCTCAATTTCTCTAAAAAACTACCAGTCTTTTCATATTGGTAGCTAGTTGACTTGTGGTACTTAAATTTTGCTATCTATATATTATTCCACTCAAAACAGAAACACTTCTGAGTATTCAATTCAAGAACCAAGCCATTAAGGCCTCAGTATGTTCAATAATTTTGTCTTGTCTCTAAGCTATTAGCAAGCATTTAAGAAAAATACATAATAAAAAATATTGATACTTGTAAATAAGATATGTAAAGGAGATGGCTTTGGCTTACCTCAGAATTGCTGGTACTAATGGAGATTACTCAAATGAAGGCTTAGCTGTTGCAGACTTGTAGTTTCTGCCTTTATGGACTATAACCCTGACGAAATAAATGTTGGGCAGTCGTTTTAGCATTCATTGAAAATGTGGACCTTGATTAGCAGCTTCCTGCACAACAAGCCTAGCGGGAGGCATAGCTTGTTCTCCTGGTTACGGTTGATTGATCGATAGGGTACTTACTATGCCCAGAGCTGGATGCTCCCGAATCTGGTTCCAACAAGACCCGTTCTTCGAAACTCGCCCAGTCGCCCACCTGCCCAAGGTCGATCCGTCGGAAAGGACTACGCCCAGAATTGGATGCGCCCGAATCTGGTTCCAACAAGACCCGTTCTTCGAAACTCGCCCAGTCGCCCACAGTTAGATTTTCACTGTGGAGAAAGGATATGAAAGAACAAAACAAGGTCTGCCGATTGTCGAAAGAAACAAAGTTCAGAAACCCTAAAAAAATTACTTATATATATAGTAAGGGTATTTTGGTAAATATTTTAGGTCGGGTCGGGTTTCACATAAATCCGACCCCGACCCGAATCTGACATTTCAAAAAATAAAACCGACCCGACCCGAAACCCGTTTTTTCAAAAAAAAATTCGCCCCTAAATAATCGGGTCGGGTCGGAACCTGACGGTTTCGGGTTGATTTGCCGACCCTAGTCATATACCATCAGAAAAAATTTATTTATATTGATGGTTAAATAAAGTATTGGTATAAGTATGGTATATTTTGATGATATTAAAAATCCTTCAATAAAAATCTCTTTTATTGATGAAATTTAACCGTCAGTATAATCAAGCGTTAATATATGAAAAATTTTTTGTAGTGTGAATATATGTAAATTGTCATGCGTAATAATCTATATAAATAGAATGCTAAATCAAAATTTTATTTTTAAAAAGAAATACATAAATATATATAAGTAGATGTTATATCTAATTATAAAATCTCATGCTTTTTGTTTTCATTTATTTTTGTTTAACTTACTTTCTCCTTGTTGTATAACTTTTGTAGCATATTGAAGTTATTTTAATGACAGCGATGAGCTGGGAGAGCATATTTGAGACATGGGTCGAGCCAGATCCCATTTCGAAATCCCAAATCAAACAAGAAAATGACAAAATAAAAATATTTGTTTATTTATTTATTTATTTTTTAATTTTGGGTACCTCCAACAGGTTCTTCGAAAACATGAACAAACAGAAAGACAATGTAGCTCCACAAGTCTAATATATTAGCGCAGATCACTAAGTGTATACGACAATAATGCATTAGTTTAAATTTCTTAAACTAATGACTTTGAAAAGTCTTTTGTGTCACTGTTGACTGTTGAACTTTTTTAGTATAGAATTTACATGACTTACTTGACATGAATTCCTTCATTTTTAGACTGTAATAAGCTAGACAAATTATGCACCTAAAGTTCATCAGAAAAATATCCTTTCCCTTTCAAAATATGATTTTAAACACATTTTTTTGACTCAAAATTATAGATACATATATATATATATTAAATATAAGATATAGATAAATCATTCACCCCCTTTTATCAAAATAAAATATTTTATATTCTACAAAATCGTGTATTCGAGATTAATGTTGACAAAGGACAATAGAATCATGAAAATTATTAAGATAAACAAATTTAATGAACAAATATAAGATTTAGTTTAATTAGTTCATATAGTCACAATTATTTAAAGTAGTATGTATTTAAAATTTAGCATTTATAACCTTTTTTCTTATTTTTGGATTGCATTTTACTTTGTAAAACAAAACAAACTTAGAAAACTCCTTATATACAAAGGATTGAAATCATTGAATCAAGCAAATTTTGGGATCCAAAAAAGAAAAAAATAGTTGTTAGATTTCACTAATTATTTAAGTCAATCAACCCCACATCATTTTTCTATAAGAGAAAAGGTGAAGGTGTAGAAGATATCGGTCAAATTCCCTCAAAGGCCCAATGTTTGCGTAATTGCGTTAGTATATTGACATTGAAGTCAACAATGGTTTGTGTTGATATATTTAACCTTATAATTCCCCCACGATCATGGTTGAATAGAAGCTATGGTTTATAATTACCTTGATCTTTAACAACCTTAACAATGATAACAATTAATATTTAGCACAGCTTGAGTTAATTCTTGCGGTTTTGCTAACTCATTATGTTCATATTAATCATGATCATTAGGATAAGATTGAAAATATATAATCAAGTTACGTATCGTAAGATGATTAGAGATGTCTTCAAATTTTACGAAGTAATAGTAATAAATTAACAATTTTCATTTAAAAAACTTCACCTAATTAGAAGTTCCATTCTGAAAATTAAAGTTGATGACCTTGCATTCTGCTTGTACTTACTTGGAGAAAAATGAAGTCTGCATTCAACTTTAGGACTTAAGGATAGGGTCTGGTCCAAACCTTAAAAACTTAACAACTTATTATAAATTCATGTACCATGCAAAATTGTCAGAGATTTCAGCTAAGTCTTCATTTATATGTATACATATATATATATATATATATATATATATAAACAAATAAAACAATAGTTAAGTGATAATGAAATGAAACATAAAAAAGTACCGCAATAGGTTTTAGCTATGCCTGTTAGAAATTTAATCAATAGATCAATCATGTCACTGTAAATGTAGAAAGCTGAAAGAAAGGTCTACTACCCCATGATGTGAATATATAGATATATAAATCAACATCTCTTCTTTTTCTTTTTTATATCTCTTTGAATTTGATGTATAAAACATGCTTTCTTTTAACATGGTAGAGGTAGTATAGCTTTTTTTTTTCCCTCTTCTTTTGCTTCTTAGAGTTCTTAACTTTTTTTTTTGGGGGTTACATAGAGTTCTTACTTTATCGAGAGAAGGGGAAACAAAATGATACTATATTTTTAGTAGTAGACTTTTTTTTTTTGGAAAAAACAGCTTTGTTAAAGGCAAATAGACAGTAAAGAAGAGATTTTTTCTGGGGTTGGGAAGAGAACAGAGGAAAAGACAGAAAGTGCAACGTCAGAGGGTTCCCCCTCTTTGGTTTGTGGTTTTGGGTTCTTGTTTTGGATTGGTTGAGGATTACAGAGGGATCTCTTCTCAGTTCTCATCCACATCTCTATCTTTCTCTCTGTCCGAGTTTTATGAGCTGAGTCTTTTTCTTTATCCTTTTATTTTTTGTTCATATTTGTGTGGTTATTGTTGTATTTTTTTGGGTATTAGCAGCTAAAGTTTTACTCAAAACATGAAGCTCAACAGTGGATAAGAGGGTTTTTTTTCTAAGAAACAAAAGAAATTGTCTCTTGGCTCTTGGGTTGAGGCCAAACCAAAGAAAGAAACCATCAAAGGTCTATGATGAGGATTATGGTATTCATTCATATATGTTAGTAAGCCTAGCTACTTGACAATATCACCAACTATCAATTTCCTTCTCTTTTTAGTTCGGTTTTTGTCTGATTTTTTGTACCATACTTTTTTATGTAAAACCAAGATCCATGGTCCATGATGCAAACTTGATCAGAGTTCTAGAATTGGTTGTGTAAGAGAAGATGATGAAAGGGTTGTTATTCCACCAACAACAGCAACAGCAACGAGCTTTGGAAGAGAATATGTCTAATTTGACTTCTGCAATATCTGGTGAAGCAAGTGTTTCTTCAGGCAATAGAACTGAAGCTGCCACCAACTATACTCAACAGTACTTTAGTTCTCCACCACCTCAAACTCAGCCTGTTAAGAGAAAGAGAAACCTGCCAGGCAACCCAGGTTTGGGTTCAAACCCTTACCTTAACACCATTATTTCTATTGCTTATTTTATTTGTTTCTGGGACTTAAATTTGAAAATTTTTTATGCATTTTTTGGGTGTTTTTTTGAATCAGACCCAGATGCAGAAGTGATAGCTTTGTCTCCTAAAACACTCATGGCAAGAAATAGATTTGTGTGTGAGATCTGCAACAAAGGGTTTCAAAGAGACCAGAACCTTCAGCTTCATAGAAGAGGGCATAATTTGCCATGGAAGTTAAAGCAAAGAACAAGTAAAGAAGTGAGGAAGAAGGTGTATGTCTGCCCAGAACCCAGCTGTGTGCATCATGACCCATCGAGGGCGCTTGGCGACTTGACAGGAATCAAGAAGCACTTCTTCAGGAAGCATGGTGAGAAGAAATGGAAATGTGAAAAGTGTTCGAAGAGATATGCAGTTCAATCGGATTGGAAAGCTCACTCCAAGACTTGTGGCACCAGAGAATACAGATGTGATTGTGGAACCCTCTTCTCAAGGTACGGGAATTAATGTAAACATGAAACAAAAAGTTCCATTTAAGCACACGGTCAAAATCTTCATTTATTGAGGCGTGAACTTTGTATAATTTTGAAAAAAAAAAAGGGTTTTCTTTTTTATTACTATTATCTTTTCTTTTTCCAAAAATTCCCAATACCGTATTATTGTCAGCTGATAAACTTTTACATTCTTTGTCTGAGATACATTGAAGAACTCATTGCAATATACATCTACCAGTTCGTACTTTCCATCCACACCCTAGAGAGAAATAGAGTAGATGTGGAAATTGTATTTGCAGCAGCTCCAAGTGGCCAATCTGTCCTATGGTCTCAGAGTGAAAAAAAAAAAAAAAGAATGCAATGCAAAAAGAGATAGGGGCAGAGGAGAAAAGGGAGAGAGAAAGTAAAATATTTCTGGCATTGTCATAGCACTTTATGACTTTTTTTGTTTTCTTGTCTTTTTTTTTTTTTTTCGTTTTTCAGGAGGGATAGTTTCATCACTCACAGAGCATTCTGTGATGCTTTAGCAGAGGAGAGTGCAAGAACAATCACGGGAGCTAACCCACTTCTCTCCCCGCACCAACCAGGCGCATCATCGGCAGCAGCATCTCACATTAATTTACAAGACATCCAACTCCAAGCATTTTCACTTAAGAAAGAGCAACATAGTTTCAGTACAGCTCTAAGGCCAGAGATTCCAACATGGCTCGCCAGCCAACCAATGCTAGGGGCTGGTCTTGGCCCACCACAGCCTATAGACCTTTCCTCCTCATCATCATCAATCTTCTCATCAAGATTAGATCATCAAGAATTCACACAAACGCACCATCAAGATTTAACACTTCATGAAAACCCCAGCCCTAACCCCAGTCTCGGCCCCACTCTTCCCCAATACCATCCAACAACAGTAACTTCCCCACACATGTCAGCTACTGCATTGCTTCAGAAAGCAGCTCAGATGGGTGCAACCATGAGCAGCAAAACTGGCTTATCATCAGCACCAGCTACTACTGCTACTGCTGCAGCGGTCTCCTTTTTGAGACCCCACCAACAAACTCACGTGTCTGCTGGTTCTGCTGGCAGTAACGATGACACAACAGCTGGTTTTGGGCTTAACTTGTCTTCAAGTGAGGAACTGGCTGTGGGTAGTAGTGGATTTATCCATGGCTTGGCTCCTTTCGGGAACCACAAACCTGCTACAGCTGCCAATGCTGGTGATCATGCCGCTGGCTCAGGTGCTCCTCCTTCCCTTCTTCAAAACATGATGAATTCTTTTTCTTCTACCACTGGATTTGACGCCACTTCCTTTGATGATATTGCATTTGGTGGGATTTTGAACGCAAAGAAGGGTGGGAGTTTCACCAATGAATCATTCTTGAAAACAACTACAACAACGCCAACTACGATTGCCACTAGAAACGATCATGAAACTGGCGTTAGTACTCAAGGCTTGACAAGAGATTTCTTGGGTCTTAGAGCTTTCTCTCATAGCGATATTCTCAATATTGCTGGTCTTAGAAGTAACTCCATGAACACTTCGCATGAACAACGCAACTACTCCGAAAAACGATGGCAAGGTTAGGTAATATAGAAACCCTTTTCTTTTTTATTTTCCCTCTTGTAAACTTCTTTCAAATACTATATCTTAATATTCTCCTTTTACCTGTTTCTTTCTTTTTATTAAATCTCCTTCTGCCTTTGCTACAATCTTTCCAAAGGGAATGACCTCTCTCAAAAAACTGATATATAATATCAGTTCCGTATACGTATCCCATGTTGCAAAATTTTGCCTTTTTTGTTTAAATTTAATGTTGGTATATTCTTCATATATATATATATATATTATTAGATATAAAGCCTAACATGCAAAAGAAACTTTAAAGAAAATTCGGAGCTTAACTCTGTTTATTTTTTATGATGTAATTTTTAGTGAGTTTTGGATTCAAATCTCGTATACTTGCCAACTCTTTTATATCAAAAGAAAAGCCTAAGGTTAATATTATACATTAGACACAGTTACATATAATATTGATAATGGGTGATGTTTAATATATGAAAGCAGTTTGCAAATGAAAAGCAACTTCATGTTGAATATGATAACCACTTTATGGGTTTAGTCTTCTAATGTAATCATATTTGGTAGGTGTTTTTTCAATTCTCAAGTACCTTGCGTGTAACTAAGAAACTTAGAACGCTGCCTAAATCCTCACCTCCTTGCAAGTTATTATATTATTATATATTAATTACTTTTATTTTAAATTTTTATAAAATAAAAGGAACTGTTTTATTTTTTATTTAAAAATTTAAATTTAACGTATTATCAACTTATAAATATTATAAACTATTAGTAAGTCATATAACGACATTTCATAAAAAAATTAATTTTAATAAGCTGTCATTAAAAATGTTTTTTTAAAAATATCATTATGTAATTTATTACTAACGTATTTTATTTAATTTTCCCGATTATATTGTAAATCTAAACTCTTTCAAGTTACGCAATAATTGGTGGCAAGTCATGATTATGATTCATGCACAAGAAATCATACTATAAAATTCTTACATTTTGATTATGTTATATATATTTCATAATGATTTAGAAAGATTGTGTTTATTTCTTATATGTCATGATGAAGTTGAAGACATATTAGGATTGGTATTATTATGATCTTCGACATGTAATGATGGGGTTTTTTACATTAATTTCCAAGTGGGTTGAGTATGGGAGGAGAATCCTAAATGCTTCTTTTTTCACATTGCAAAAGAAATATGAACGAGCAGTATTCGCTTTCATCACCATGACATATAATATGATTTTTAGTTAACATTAAAATCATGGCTTAGAAAAAATAAAAAAAAGATATATAATATGAGCTACAAAATTATAAGTCAGACCCATGATTGCTAGCTTTCTATTTCACCTTTTACCCTCGATTAAAAAAATTAAATTATATTAAGATTTATATTTGATACATTATTAATATATAAATTTTATATACTGTCAGTAAATTAAATGATGTTATCTCATTAATAAAATAAATTAGATGATACCATCTTATTAATGAGTAAGTTTTTAAAATATTAATATTTGTATATTTATTTTAAAAATTAATATTTATTCATTAATGAGATGATATAATCTGATTTATTGATAATATATAAAATTTATACACTAACAATATATTAAATATAAACTCATTATATTATTGGTCGCTATGTCATTTTTGTCAATTAACAATGGATTACTCTTATGAATTAATTAAATTTATAAAGACATGAGTTTTTTTTTTTTCAAAAAATTTAATTTTTGTGAAAAATATTTTGAGAATATACCTTTGAGGCTTTTAGCGAAACAACTTAAAAATACTCGACTGCATTACCAAAAAAAAAAAAAGTAATGACCAATTCTTCCATCTCTCCTCAACTTCAATTTTTTATAAAAAAAAATCACAACATGAGGAAAAAAAAAAGATTATAAACACCATACTTGGTTGAACATGAAAAAGATATATATATATATATACACACACACACATAAGTTTTAGTATCAAAGTGATTTTTTCCTCAATAATTTGCCTGACAAAATTTTCACCGTTATATTATGTAGAGGCAATTATAAGTAAACTCATGATGCTCCCACTTGCTATGTCCATAATCATGGTGGCCCCTCTACTCCTTGGATCTCACTCTTGATTATCCTATAAAAATCATCAATTTCATCTTTTGTTGATATAATCTAATCATACTAGTATCAATGTTTATATTTGATTAATGAAATCAAAATTTAATTTAATTAATTCATATTATTAATTTTAAGACGTAACATTTAATAGCCTTTGAGTTTAAATTTCAACATCTAAACCTCTTCTTCTATCACATATATTTTACGATTTTTTTTATCAAAAAAAAAAAAAAATCTATCGCGCATTCTCTCCATCGTATTTTTTGGAAGAATAATTTTGAATGTACGGAATAACTAAATATAGATATCAATATAATTAATATAAATGTAAAAGTTTACAGGACGATCAGAACAAAAGCATTGGATTCTCAAGAGACCAAAGATTCATGAAATGTGAAGAGATGGGCAAGTTAGCTAGGGTTAGATATGCTTTTTTTTTTTTTTTTGTTTCTGAAAAACAAAAAGGAGATGCTGTTTGACACCTTGTGTGGGTGCAAGTGGGACTCGATCCCCAGGAAGGATCCCTTTCTGCTTATTGGCCTCTTCACAATAAAATAAAAATGTGATTTTCCTTTTTAATATATACTTTTTTTTTAATTTCATGTAATACCTAGCTACACAGTAAAAATAGTATTGTAAGCTGTGGGTTCATTATACATTTTATTTTCCAACGTGTGACGAGTTTTGTGCTCAGAAAAAATATAAAAAAATATTGTTTTGCTTAAAAATCTTAGGCCTCTTCCAATTTAACTTAGGTAGTTGGAGAGAAATATTTTGGGGTTTAGATAAAGTTTTTCATATTATATATCACCTGATGATTTGTATATTTATATCGTATAAAATATTAAAATTTATATATTTTTATTATGTTAATTATCACTAAAATTTTAAATTATTATTTTGGTGTTTTTTTTATATCATATTTGTGAAATGTTATCATATCATATTTTATATTATCATATCTAATATTATCTGTATTATTCCTTGGTATCGTAAAAGAACAAGGTTAAAGATAACTATAAAAAGGTGAATTTTCTTACATGAGTTTTGTAAAAAAAAAAATTAGCTATGAAAAATTAGTTAATTAATTTTAGGATTCATTTGATATTGTGATAAAAAAATTCACACCGCATTATGAAATAGTTTTATGATTAGATTCTTTTAATTATAAAACAAAATTACGACGCGATAAAATGTTTTTTTAATCACGTTGTCAAATGAGTCTTTAATGAATTTTTTAGTGCTTTCCAAAGAATATTGGATGGAAAGAATATCTTTTTATAAGTTCAGTGCTTAATTTGTACAAGTTATGAATCTGCCAACAGATATTCCTCCATTTTGCTTACCTTTGAGTACAAATAATGAATGCATATTCTAACAAGGCCTCCTTCGGCTTTAATTTATAAAGTTCTCATGACAATATTATTTCATTGGGGTTGCTCTATTCTTTTTTCTTTCTTTCTTTCTCTTCCATCTCTTTCCCTTTGTAAATTCAAACTCAAAAGGTGATCTCCACTAACCAGGCAATATCCCAAAAAGGTTCCATAATAATTACTCAAAAGTTGTATAGTAGTGCTCAAGAAAGCAAAATTATTGTTGTTCATAAATTGTATATTATTCTAAAGAAAAATCTCTCTTTTCCTTCCTTTCCTTTTTGTCCTTGAAAGAGCTATTATAAGAGAGAGTAGTAGTGTTGAGTAATCAAATGGGAAAAAATGTTATCAAAGGTATGATTAGTCTATCATAAGAAAAAGTGGTTTTCTCTGAGAACCTTTATAAAAAACAGAGGCATGCGTGAGAAAGATGCTTATCCCTATAAGAAATATTGTTTTGTTAGGTCAATTTAGATAGATATATGAGCTAACTTTGAAAGTGGCAATGGCACTTGTCATTTCATTTTGGTTTAGTAAAAAACAAAAAAAAAAAAGGATACCTCCTCAAATCTGATTTCCCCAATTTCCTCCTTGATCTCATGTTTATATTGTAAGGCATGTTCATACTCCTAAAAGCACACACTCACTCACTCACTCACTCTCCCCTTCTCTCTCTCTCCCACGAGTACAGAAAATTATAAAAGAAAAAGTGTTGGAATGTGACATATTTGGCATTTTTTTATACTGGGTTTCTCTTTTAACATCCATTAGTTAAAAAGAATAGCATGTTTGTCATTTACACACATAGAATTCTCTGTTAACACAATAGCAGAAAGGTAATAGTATGGGGAGTGGTGGGCTAAACTCGAAAGCACAGTCCCCTAAATCCCATATGTAATGTCTCAGATTTTTTGGTACTTTTTGTCTGGTGAGGGGACTTCTCATCAATTCTTAAAGCAAAAAACCCACACAATTAATGGTGGTAGTGTCTCCAGAAAAAGCTGCCAATTATCAAAGCTATGGTTGTCTAGCTATAAAAAATGGTGGGGGTGGCTTCTGTTTTTTTTTTGAATATTTTCATTGCATGGGCATTGAAACATATGAGTACTGGAAAACCCAGTTGACTTGTCTTCGTTAAAAGATGCTCTCTCCGCTGGATTATTATGGTACTAATTACTGTAAGCCTTTATCTTTGACTTACCTTAAACCCCACCATTGTCATTTCTCCATAATTCCCTTTTTTTTTTCCTTCTTTTTCTCTGCATCCACATCCTTTGAGGTTTTTGATTTCCAAGTTGATTTCTGGTTTTCACTTTCCCCATTACAAGTAGAAGTAAATATATTTGCTGGTTTTTCCAATAGAATTTACTGTTTTTTATAATTTTATTACTGGCAATTCTTTTTTTGCTTTTATATAGTTTAATAAAAGACAAAATCTCCTTCCAAAATTTGACTGAAAAGGGTGCCACTTGATAGAGAATTAGTACCAAATATGACCATGGGCATTGTTCAGGCCTACAAATATTTTGGTGCACCCTGGGGCCCAATTTCTTAAGTTCAGGCCCACATCATGAAAATTGAAAAGTCATAAATATAATTTTTTTTATAGAGAATTAATGTGTTATATAACCACATATATAGTCCCTTGTAAAAGCCAAAATCCACATAAATGTGTGCTACATTAATTTTGTGAAAATATAAATCATGCGCAATGACTCTGTTCATGATTTATTTTGTATGTCAAAAGATACTAGAAGGGTTAATGTCTCAAATCACCCTCGAATTATCATAAAATATTTAATATGACTTTTCAATTTTAAAATTTTTTTAATATAATTCTTAATTATGAATTTTTTAATTAATATAATATTTATTTATCTTTAATGTGATTAACTTTAAATGTTGATACGTGATATATAAATAATCTTTTAAATATCACATTAATTAAACAAATTCATAATTCACGTATAATAATAAAAACTTTTAAAATTCATATATCATATAAATATTTTACAAATCATTAATCCAAATCAAAATAGTAAATGACATTTAAATCGGGCTTGAAAGCCCATGCAAAAGCTTTAGGGAAAGCCCAATTTCAATTTCAGAGTGTTTCCCTTGCAGGATTTTAAGTAACACAGAAGCATCATATGCCATTTCGTTGCCCACAGGGATTGTGCTTTGGGCAGATGGAGATGGTGAAAGAAATCTAAGAAAATAACAGTTCCAGAATGTTCATGTAAAGACTTCAGAGAAACAGCTGTATTGTTGTCAGAAGTATGGTTTCAGCTAGAGGTGTATAAAAGTCTCACATGAATTTGAATGGCAATATACCATCTTCTGCTGGCTTTGCTAGTTAAGACAAGATGATGATCTCGAGCAGTCATTATACTGCGTAAAACATATAAAGGAATTGCTAGTATTTCAGGAAGATAAGGCACCAAGTCTTTTTTTAAAGCATCAAATGGCAATAAGAAGCTTAATTCAAGTCAACAGTGTTGGTTTCTATTATTTCAAGTGATTTTAGAAGCTCTATGATGACCAAAATTACAATTCAGACAGCCATCTGCTCCCGATAAGCTCATGGGAGTAGCTGACAATGCTAATGTATGTTACAAATGTCTATAAGCTGCAGAAAGAAAGAAGGAAAAAAGAAAGATCATTTTGAAGGTTGCTTAGATGCATCTTTTGGGTCCTGTTTTGATCCTGTCACAGCAGCAGATGCTGCCACAGTCATGGCAGCCGCAGCTGCACCCAACTTTGCCCCACCAGCAGCCTTCATCACACCAGCTACTTTCGCAAAAACAGCTATCCCTCCTACAAGTAAAGCCCTCAAGGCTACTGTTGGTTTCACCGCCATTTTTTATTGAATCTGCAATTTTCCAGTATCACATAAATTCAATTTTCTATTTTCGTTCCAATAACTAATGTAGGTCAAAACAGTGAATAAACTCAGTAAACCTAAACTGTAAGATCATGATGCTACATGTTTCATGCATGTCTTAATTAATGATGCAAAAGAATAAAACCATGTCCCATAAACAGCTAGACACCCATCCTGTAGCTCATACTTGTCACTCAAATTTAGGTTGGATTGCCTTCACCATTCAATTTGGATCATAGCAGAACCTTGGTACAACAAATATTCAGAAGTATAATGTCCACTGTGCTTTTTTCTCTTTTCCCCTTTTGGTCAGTAAGATTTGAACCAAAGATCTAAACATTCGCACCCCAAACGTAAGTTAAAGCTAAAACTCAACACAAGTTAAAAATTTACTCATTATGCTGGCAAGTGAGACTACAGTTTTAAAACTTGAATAGCAATGCCAATTTGAGACCAAACCCTCCATATGACTGAAATGATCAGCCAGACTACTGAGATTGATGAATATTAACGATTCATAGATACTGGCATTCATTGTAGTGCGAGTTCTGTTTCTATTCAAATCTAAAGCACCTCGACTTTTGAGGATCAGTCATGCCATTTTCATTCCACTGCTTAATGATGCATAACATTGGGAAGCCTCAATTGTCTTACACCATGAGAAACCAAAATTATTATTCTAAGTATCGGAAACACTTTTATTTTGTTAAACACAGTTCTGTGACAAAACAGCTATTTATCCAAAGATAACAGTATGAAATATATAAGAAAATTCCTCCACCCACTTCAGATCCCTAGACTAAGAATTTCAACATACAAAGCATTACTGAATAATCATCTCATATTTCTCTAGGGAGCTTTTCTCTTGGAATCCTTCATTTTAACTTCCACTTTGTTCTACAGCCTTACAAATATTTCCGTGCCACTAATAACAACACCACCAACTAGAGTCAGAAAGCAAAACCATGAACATTTCTCTCCATGAGGTTTTCTAAGAACTAAGAAAAACACTTTCCAGAAAGCTAATAAAACAATGTCCAATATCTCCATCTCTCACCCGCATGTCCAAAAAATTCGAGAAAAGAAGTCAATCAATCTAAAACAAATAAAATATTATCCTTTAATCAATGCAGGATCAACTCTACAAGCTCACCTTCATTTAGAAATTAAAAATTCACCCTTTTCCTCATAATTTCTACAGGAAATGCAAGCCCTTCACTTTAGCTATCATAATGACCAAAATCCTGAAAAAGTTTTTAACTTCAACCCCAAAAGCAGTTTTGGGTAAGTACCCATTTCCTCAAACCAATTGTCTAATGCCTCCTATCCTCAACCCAACTAAAATTTTCCTCTTTCTTGTCCCTTCTGTTCCTTCTTCAATGGCAAACTTTAGATTCAAGAGCAATGAAAATAATAATTATAATTATAATTTAAACAAAAAAACAGAAACAGGCCCTAGATCATATAACAGATAAGAGGTAGAAAATCGAACCTTGAATTTGAAAAGAAAATCTTTTTGATTGAGTCCTTTCGCCAATAATTTGCAGAGAGCAAGCGTAATGAAGGGAGAAAAGGTGAGTAAATTTCGTTGCTTTTTCTTTTTATTTTTTAAAAAATGGAGTCTCTTTTTTTTTGCGACACGTTAGGCATTTTTGTTGCCACTCGTGGCAGAATGTTATTGGAAAAAATGGTTAAAAGGCGTACATTAGCAGCGACAGGCATATCTCTCTCTAACTGTGCGCCGGCAAGGGGAAAAAGAAGCTGGGGAGCTAGCCAGAGAGGGAAAGACAATGGATCCGTACTCAGGAGGAGGAAGCTGGACTATGATCCCCAGCGTCCCAACCCACAGTAACATTTCTACACCCACCAATCAAGACCATCTATACCTCTCTCCTCCTCCACCATCACAACAATAACAGCAATTACATCCACAACAATTCCAACAACAATAACAACAGCAACAGCGTATGTTACAACAACAACAAGTGCGGCAGAATCAACATCATCAGTCACTAGCTTCTCACTCCCATCTCTTACATTTATTCCTGTAAACCACAACCTCAACAAAGGTGTAGTACAACTTTTCTTTTTTCTTTAATTGAAGTGTTTGATTTTTTTTTTTTTTGGTGTGTTTGTTTGTGGGGGTGGCAGTTGGTGGAGAATTTGGGTGATGCAATTGATAATGGAAGCCGGGATCAAAATTCTGATGCTTTGGTTTTGTTGAGTTTTTTTTTTTTTTTTTTTCAACTTTAAAATTGGTTTTAGTGTTTATTTTGAAGATTATTGATTTTTCTTTTGGATGGGGTTTTGGGAAGATTAATGAACTGAACAATCACTTTGAGAAGTGCCAACAGCTTTTGAACTTGATTGCTGCATCAATTAATACCAAAGGTATGGTAAATTACCTTCTCTGTTTCTTTTTTTTTTAATTTATAATTTCTGTTTTTATGTTATGGGATGTTGATGAAGCTCCATTCTAGGGGTTGATGAATTTAAACCAACATGAAAGTACTTAAAAAGATGCAAGCTTCTGCAAAATGTCACCATCTTCAGTTTTTTCTTATGATTTTTAGAAGGCATGTAACTTGGGAATTTATGATGATAGATTCTTTAAATGTGCTAATATGTTAGTATTAGTGCTTCTTTCTATAACTTGGGAATTTGTGGATGTTGGATGTAGACTGTTGAAGGACAAAAGAGAAAGCTGGAGAGAGGAAAGTAAGCAATTGCTAAATCAAAGGAGGTAAGTAGTTGGTCCTGATTTGTGTTTTCTGCAATTGAATGTTTCTAATTGATGAATGTGTGCATTTTTTTTCTTCCAATTTAAGGGATCTGATAACCAAGTATAGAAGCTCTGTTGAAGACCTTGTGAAGACTGAGCCATAGTTGCTTCTCACTATACTAAGCACAGGTAGGAAAATGCATAGGAAAGAATTTTGACTTGAATATTGTCGATAAATAGTTGCAGTTTGCACTGTTTACTGTAACATATCAATTTAATTTCCAATTTGAATGAGAGTTGCCCGTAAAGAATCTTGATGCAAAGAGGCTATTTTGCATGAGCTAGTTGCTTTACGTGTAATTTTGTGTTGTATTAAATAAGTAAAAGTGTGTATAGTCTTGATAACATATTGTTATAGAGTTTCAGTGAGGGCATATGGGTAAGTTGCTATTTGGGAATGAATATAGGGAAAATCTATGTAAATGCTAGTGTCTTGCACAAGCGCAAACAAAGCAAAATGAATCTTACCTCAAACAAATTTTTGGATAATGAACAGCAAAAATGGGCCTTGGTGAGCAGTTCTTTCTGTCTGAGAGCCTACCTATTAGAGAACTTTGCTACTAAGAGTGAGTCTGCTCTTCTAGATTGATGCATTGAAACTTACTTTGGCCTCTTGGAAATCCATTGGTGGTGGTTGCACCGATCATAGTTAAACTTTGCAATGCAGTTGTCTTCCATTCATCTGCAGAGCCTGTCTCCTTTAGAGCTCAATGTGAATCAAAGAGAAAGGATATAAATTCTTATTCTATTGTCATCAAAAACTCTTTAGCAAATAATTTCCAAGAAAAATTGCAGAGTTGTTCACTGCTGTTTTAGAGCTGTCAAGTTAGATTTGTATGTTTTTGCACTCAACCTATGATAGATTTGCTTGCTTCTGTGGTTCTTATATTTAGTTGATGTTGGTTTCAAAGTGCATATTTGTTCCCATAAACCATGAAACTGTAAATATCTCGTTTTTCTTCTTTGATTCTTTAATATTGATAATTGTTTTCTTCAAGAAATTTGAGCTAAGGCTTCTGACCGTCATTTTGGCTTTTGCTGTTTTCAGGTCAAGAGCTTTCTGTTTAACTCTGAAAGATCAAAAGGTAGAAGAAAATTCTCTTTGTTCAGCAAGTAGAAACTTCTTATCTTGTCTAGCTTTCTCTTTTATCAAGATTTCTTTTGGAATGAGATTATATTCAAATGCAATCTTGGCTTCATTGTTTTGGTGCCATTCAATGTTATGGAGCTCTGAATGTCATTACTGCCGTGCCCTGGGAGCTGCATGTTCATAAGGTTTCTAGTGAAAATTAAATGAAGATCCATATGTCTTTTCTACTGATTTGACTTTACTAGATTATTTGGACCTTGTAGTTCTGCATTCAAGTTTATTTTCTCTCTCTATGAGATTTTTTACATTGGAATTGTTAAGATTTATATATGCCGGTGATTTCTTTATACACTACAAAGGAGTCATCATTTTGCTTAACCTTTTGATTCACTAATATTAAGAATAAAATGCAATACTCCAGTCAAGCCACGTTTGAAAATAATATTAGTATTTTAGAATGTGGTGCATTCCATATTTGATAGAAAAATTAATTATTGGTGAATAAATTTAATTTTTATATTAATTTTATTCATATTTTAAATAATTATATTGAAATAAAAATAATTATTATACGATAAATAGTCATAACTATTTGAATATAAAAAAATTATTATTTATATAAGTTATTATTATACAAATAAGTATAATCATTTAAATAAAAATTTATATATGTTCATTTATTATAAATAAAATTTTCAGTATAATTATTTTCATTATTTTTTATTGAAGAGTTTAAGGTTTATTGTATTTTAAAAATATAATTATCTTTAAAAAAGTGTTGTTAACGTCTCAAATTAAAATTTTTTTTATTATTTCTATTACATTATTTATTTTTTTGTAACAACACCCATTTGTGCACGGGACATGTCCAGTTTGCTTCTGTTTTCAAACAATAAGTACCAAGCTTTCCGAGCTGAGTTTGATCTGTAGCTTCAAGAGTAGCTTCGGAAATACTACATCTTCTCAGTTAATGAGCATACAAAATAAGATTGTCGTTAGAAATTCTCCGGAAAATAAACTCTCGAGAAACAAATGCAAGAGAGTAGTGCCAATGACCTTGTAAGGGAGATGAGTTGTATGAAGACCCACTAAAGTGCCCAAAAATATCCATCATAACAGAATTTGTTAACTCTTTTGACCCTTTCTCCTTCGTAAATCAACCTGTCTGTCGTTCCTTTCATTTCTCTGGATCTCCCACTTTCCCCTCCTTTATTTCCATCCCACCAGGAGAAAACAAAGGAAAGAACGAAAAGCACCAGAAATAAACAATATTTCCTGTAAAGAAAAAGAAAAACTGCACCATCCCCGGCGGCAACGCATCCGATATCTCATTATCCCTCCAAACAATAGGAAAAAAAGGGAAGCAACACCACCAAAATATGGGCATTAATCCAAGAAGTGGTAGTAACGGCACGACACAAGCTTGCGCTGCGTGTAAATACCAACGTAGGAAGTGCGCTCCTGACTGCATTCTCGCCCCTTATTTTCCTCATGATCGCCAAAGACAATTCCAAAATGCGCATAAATTGTTTGGAGTCAGCAACATCTCCAAGATCATCAAGGCCCTCAACCCTCCTGAGAAAGACATTGCGATGCGTACCATTGTATTTCAATCTGATGCACGAGCCAATGACCCTGTTGGGGGTTGTTATAGGATCATTCAAGAGCTTCAGCGTCAGATAGAGTACAGCCAGGCTGAGCTTGACCTGGTTTTTCATCAGCTAGCCATATGCCGAGCACAGGCAGCTCACCAGCAGCAGCAGCAGCAACTGCAGACGTCTCACTTGCAAATGCAAGAACCAGCTGCAGGTGATTCAACGTTAGGTTGTGAAATGGTGAATCCCGATCCATTGACCACGTATAATTCGAACTATTATTATGTTCAAGAGCCTCTGGACGAGCAGTTTACGGTGAATGATAACAACGTCCATCATCACATGCAAGAAAATTATGATTCATGGGACATACAAGAATCGACTACAGCCTTATCATCTTTGAATATCAAGCAGAGTTTCATCAAAGAAGGTGATAATGATTATAATAATGAAGTTAAGCCCGATCATGGTATACCTTGTGAAAGACATGAAATCAAGTTTGAGACTGAAGAACTAGTTGAAAGGAGGTTTGTTCCATCGACACAGTTGGTTATGTCATCTTAGTCGTAAATTTTGTTCATCTCAGTTGTGAGATGATATATATATAATATAAGAGAAACAAATAAATGCATACGGACGTGCAGAATAAAAGTTTTGATATATTATGTGATGTCCATTCTGCTGCTGCTGGCCATGTATTGGATATCATTTGAAATAATGCTTTTCCAGGCCATACTCATCTTGTTTCTTTCTTCTCTTTCTCCTTTTGAATTGCTATACAATACATGCACCTTTTGGCTTCAAATTGTTATTCTTAGCCGGTTTCACACACAAAACTTTTGCGGATAAGCACATGTATATGACTACAGACTCTTCACCTGGCAGTATCGATTGAAGCTGTTCTAACAACTTTCAGAGGGTCTATGATTCCAGCCTTCGCCATATTATCATTTATGTACCTGTTTTAGCGCATCAAACGTGATACTGATCAGGACAGAGGAGATGCAATTTCTCATTGCAATAGCAAAGAATGGCGGCAGTACATTTTGAGAAGGACAATGATGGCATGCATGACATTAGTGTATCTGTGACACAGAGAGAGGACTCACAACATAACTTGATGAATTTAAGTGAGATCATTTTCAAAGGAGTGATATACCCAACTTGAGATGATCATTTTCATAAGATCTGAAGGAACAAACTTTTTGAGGCATCAAAACCCAAATTATCCTTATCTTTTTCCATTAGTTTTAGTTTTTCGAGAACGGAGAGCCATCGTAACCAGCATTTGAAGCTATAGTTAAAGTTGGTGGCTGAAGTAAAGCAATATTATATGCTACCAGGTACTATAGATTTATAATGAGATCAAAAGAAGCTTGCTGACAGTTGCCATAAACAAAACATAAAGAGCATCTTGAATTATCTGAAAGCCTCTTTTCTGATCTTCATTTTGAGCTTTAAGGTTCTGCAAGACCTTTGTATATGGACATTTCTTTCACTCTTAGCATCAAAATTAAGTATCTCTTTGGCATAGGAATGGGATAAATGTTAAAGTACATTCACATAAATAAGCTGGGATCTTAGGACCAACCACTCTTTGACAAATGACAAACAATTAGTTTTTCTTACAAATTGTGAAAAAAATTGTAGATATTAGAATTCAAATATTAAGCTTATTAGTTAACTCTCAATTCAAGCAAAATCTCTATAATATATAATGTGATCCAATCACTGCAAATAGGATTATGACATGCTAGTAGTACATCTTTTTCGCTTTCGAAAAGAAAAAAGAAAAAAAAAAAGACTTTTCCAATGTTTTCCAAGAAATGGTAGCTGGCTTTGAGAATTGAGACTCCTCCTCTCCTCCATTCCCACCCATTAGAAATCATACAGAGCTTAGGATCGCATTTGTATTATATAAAATATTAAAATTATATATTTAATGTTGTGTTTTATATAAAAATTATATCATAATTTATATTAATATAAAAAATAAATTTTATTTTTTTAATTTTACTAAATTATATATAATTATTATTAAAATTTTAAATCGTATTACTTTCTTATTTTCTATTCGATCGATGATGATATTGTATTATATTTTAAATTAACGATACCTTACTTTAAAATCACCCACAATAATAACTTCTTCATACTTTCTTCCACCGACACTAATACATGGGGGGGGGGGGGGGCATCACTGCTTGCAATTTAAGCAAATCCAGTGAAATTACTACATTTTTTAGCCACCAAAATGGAATTTTAAAGGATTATATAAACAAAAATTTCTATGTAAAACAGGAGATTCCTGTCAGAGGCCCAAATAAAATACTAAAACACAACAGGCTTTCCTTAGAAAATAATTTCACTTGAAAACCCAAGAGAAAAATGTCTGTGCCACTTATTTCTTCCCTTCGAGCTCTTTGCATATGATGAAAAATTAGAAAAAAGGGATTCCTAATTCTAGCCAAAAAAAAATTATATATTAAAAATGAAATAACAAATATGAAATTAATCTTTTTTCATTCGAAATTTATTGGCCAAACCGTAAGGTAACGTTACCCCAATGGCCATGGCAGAGCAAAAAGGCAAAACGCCAAAGAACTCAATAATTTTCCATGACTTATTTACAAAATTTGGTCATCCATATTTTTCTCTTTAAAATAAAGCTTAAATTTAAATTTCCCTTACAAAAATAACAATTGGGGAAAATGTAAAGAACTGAATACAATATATTCTACATTAATCTTAGAAATTCCAAGCAAACAACAAAAACGAAAATTAAAAAAAAAAATTGAAAAGAAGTATACATTACAATTTTCTATATCCTATTATTACAATCAATCACCAAATTTACACAACATATTAAAACCCAAAAAATAAAATAAAATAAAATAAAAACACTTTTTTTAAGTAAAGACAAAAATTAAAATAAACTAAACATCGAACCTTTTTCTTCCCCATTCTTTCTCTTCTCAATTCTCGTGATTAAAAAGTCCATTTCCAGATCTTAAGCCTCAAATCAACCTTACACTTGGTATTAGAAGGTGAAGCTGTGGTTGCTGATTTCCCCTTGGGAACAGTAGCTTTAATCCCTTCACAAATACCCCTAATGCCAAACTTTGGTGTCTTCAATGCTCCCATCTTTAGCTTCAGTTTACTGTCGAGCTTTATCTTTAATGGCAGCCCGTTGTTGCTCTTTAAAGTAGTCTTTAACTTTCCGGCTGACGTGTTATCAAGTTCTTGGTTGCTGCTAGTTATGGCAGCTTTTAGAAGGGTCGAGTTTCTAGTGCCTTGCACGAAGGAATCGAATGAACCATCGCCAATATCGATGTCGTCGTTTGTGAAAATAGATATGGTGAAGGGATCGTAAATGTAGACGACTTTTTTGTTAGGGTTTTTGGCTGTGACGTTGAGGTTGATGTTGGCGACGAGCTTGGAAGCTGAGGTTATCTTAAGAGTTGAGACTTTAAGGGAGGAAACCATGAAAGTAGGGCGGTGAGGGCGGTAAATGACGTATAAGATAGAACCAGCTATGGCGAATAGAAGGATAAGCAGGAGGAAAGCTACAGTGGTCCAAAGACAACAAGAGCAACAGCCAGAGCGGCGGTCGCGGTGGCTGTTGGGTTGTGGACGGTAGAGAGAGCGGGAGGCTCCGTAAAGTTGAGCTTTAGTGGCGGGAAAGCCAGGATTGGCGGCGGTGGTGGGGGAAGTGCCATTGGTGGCTTGTTTGGATGAAGGGTAAACCCTGTCAGTCATGGTGGGGAAAGAAATGGGGAAGGGAAAAAAAATGAAAAGAATTGTTTGTTTTGGTGTCAAACCACAAAGAAAAACTTTGTTCTCCGTTCTTTCTTTATAGTCCTTTCCAAAATTTTCTTTTCTTGGGCGCGTGTATTTTAGAGAGAGTGGGATAGGGGAGAGAAGGGGATTGTTTTGACGTTAAGCAAACCGAGGAAAAAGTGTTTGGTCGGATGTCTTTTAGATACGGGCAATTTGACCAGATACAATTTGACCAGAGAGGAAACAGGGCTTTCAAGAGAAAAGGGGGAATTTGAAGAGATTGAAAGGCAAGGGGAGGATGGTGGAATGGTGAAGAGGGAGACAGCAATGTTGCAACTGAAGCCAAAGGAAAGGCTACACCTACGCGCTTGTTTAGGGAGCGTGGGGATGATAAGTAGTTCAGTTTTGTGGGATTTCAGTCAAGTGTGTTTCAAATGTCAATAATTAATTTTTTTATAATATTTAATAGAATTTTTAAATTTCACATGATTAAAAAAATTATTATATGTTTTTATTTTATCAATTTTTAAAATATATTTTATATTTTTTAATTTCATTTATGAAATTTAAAAATTTTATTACCATCGTGAATTGGATTTTTTTTAAACATTTATATGCATAACATTTCCCTATCAATTTAATTTCTTTATCTTTGTACCACTCCATTGCTTTTGTTAACATCATATGCAATTTCTATGACTTATATATAAATTGTTGTCGAGTATTTTATTTATTAATTCTAAAAAACTTGCATCTAGACTAATTAAAAATATCCATATTAGATGCTTCAAATAGCAAAAAATTATTAGAAAATAAAGCATTGATCTGTTTTTTTTTTTTTTCCTACATGTGTATTTCATTTAGCTATAAATAAGAAATATATATGTTGCAATTAAAATAATTTAGACATAATAATACATTGCAAAATGGATAGGAATTTTTTTGCAAAGAATATTGTAATTTGAGGATTAAAAAATAGATTGTATGTGTTGAAATTTTAATTTTAAAATTATTAGATACCACTTCTAAAAAATAATTGCATAAATAAATTAAATTATTTACGCTCAAATTCGGATGAAAAGTTGAAAAGTTGTTTAATAATTATAATTAGGAATCTTAAATTAAGTTTTGCTTTGATCCCTTAATAGAATTGGGCACCACTTTTCTTTTTTCTTTTTTTTCTTGTCTTTTTTTTTTCTATACACTAATGAAAAAGAGAATTATAAAATCCATGAATTAACGTGTGACATGCATGAGAGCGGCAAATTACCTTTTCATATACTAATGAAGTTGAAATATATATTGTTTACATATATGGTAGGAGAGAGTACTAATTAGAGCAATATTGAGGTTGACAAAGTACCTAAGATGGCACCTTGTAATTAGTAAATTAATTAATGATGTCATGTTTTGAGAAGAAAACGCACATTTGAGAAGTGAATTAAACTCTTTTTAATGAGAATCAATGAGCTTATAGCCATATACTTTCTCAACAAACATAGATATTTCCATGTTACCTAATCTCAATTTTAGATTTCTCTCTCTAATTAAGGAGGCCCCAAGAAAGTTGATAATAAAAAATATTAAGTCTTAATTAATGAAAAAGGTTTGTTCTCACGTATGGATGTACATAGTAGCCAGAAGGGTACTTACCCACACTAAGCTCCTAAATTTTTTAAAGTTTATTAAAAAAAAATCCCAAAAGTATTGAAACTTTAAAATTTTGCACCTACTAAAAATATTTTTATCAAATTTGCCTCTACTAAATTAATACTCATACAAGAAAATATTTTATTGTTTATCTAGTAATTAAACATTGATCCTTTGGGTGCTAAAAAATTTCGTTATAATACATAGTTATATATATATTTATATATATAAGTTTGTAAAAAGAAAGTAAATATTTTTAGAGAGTTTGAAATTATTAAATTTCAAATTCCTCCTAATAATTTATTTATATTGATATGGGATGAATTTATGAGGGTAACAAAACCTAGATCTTATACTACTTAAATGGTTTTAACCACCTATTTAACACAAAAAAAAGTAACATATAAAATGTGAAGTAATAAAAATAATTAAAAAAATCATTTAGATTTATATCTCCATTTTTCTTTTCATTGTATCTAAGAAAAGAGACATCTAAGAAAAGATATATTTTTATTTTTCAAATTATAATGAATAAGAAAAAAATATATTTGTTTATTTCAAGTAAATAATAAAACTAGGCAATTAAAAGTGAATAATAAAACTAGATACGTTAATTTTATATTATTCTTTAACATATTATATCTATTTTAAAAAATTTTATAAGTAAAATTTTATTAAATTAATATATGTGTTTTTATATTAAAAATTGATTTATCTAAATAGTGTTTCGGTTATATTTGTTAATAATCATATAATTAATTTTAATTACACAAAAATTATTTTTATGGCAAAAAATGTTTTCATGTAAAGAACATATGCTATACATCTTGATTTTATTTGTAATTTTTTTATATTAATTTTTGTCTCAATAAAAAAAATTTTAAGTTAATTTAAAATATTTACCTTTACTAACTATAAATCATGAATCTGTCCCTAATTACAAAATTATTATTTATAATAAAATAGATAGGATTTGTTCTAAATATTTTAATTGAATAAATTTGATTTCATTTGAAAATTTGAAAATCATGTTAAAATTATGTAATAACTCGCTCAAAATAACTCCACTAAACTCCATTAGTTCATACTCCAATTAAGAATGGGACCTAAATTATCATAGGATGAATATATAATCAAGGGCATTTGCCAAACCTCACCCCATTGATCAGGTTGTCTCTTTTCCTTGGTTCTTCCATTTTCTCGATCATTGACAACAAGAAAATCAGGAAACCAGCAAATTGATACCTCACCTAATGAGTGATGACTTAAAAAATTAAACTAATTTGCCCTACCTTTTGTTTCGTTTTGTATTCTTGTTTATTATTGTTAAAACATCCATGTGATTGTGATTTTTAAATTGTATAAAAAACAAAGAATCAATCATTTCTTAATACTTAAAGTAAATTTGATTACGACCTCCTAATTGCCATCAATGTTCTTCAGCCTCTCCCCTCGAAAACATATCCTAAGCCTTCAACTTTTAGTCCTCTTATTTATTTTTTATACAAATTAAGAAACCATAGCTTAAATAGGAAAAAATTAAACATTAATATTTGAATTTCAAATTAGAAATATATATTTTTTTATAAATGGCTGTATAAATTTATTAAGTTAAACTGAATTCTCATAGTTATATTTTTTCATAATATAAATAATTTCCTTCCTTGTAAGGTTCAATGATATTAGCTTCAAAGTAATAACAGTGATATATATTAGAAACTTGAAGTTTTTTTTTTTCTCCATAATATAAATTGGTAAAGTGAGTTATATCTAATAAATTTTTAATTTTTTATAATTTTATATTCAAATTGGACCTCTCAATTTACTGTCAATTAATTTTAAGTTTGATATTTAACATAAACAATTTCTTTTCTTGTAAGGTTCAATGACATTAGTTTCTAAGTAAACAATAGTGATATATATATATATATATATATTTGAAACTTGAAGTTATTATTTCTTAAGGATAACGTCGAGTTGTAATTATAAATTTTGAATTTAATTCAGTTTGTTCACAGTTACTTCAATTAATCTGAAAGTCAAATTTTAACAGTTATAATTTTTTTTTAAAATTTTAAACTATGACCTCTTATATATAAAAAAATAAATTGTAGTAATTTTTAAAAAATTTATGATAATTACTAGAAAGCAACAAATGTTTCACATTAAATTAACTCAATGCAAGGCCATTTTGCGCAATTTTAGTTGATAATTGGGACAGAATCTTCAAAAGATTCTTTATCGTAGAAAAGAAAAAAAAGAATAATTAATGGGTTGGTTTAAATATGTCTGGTATCAAACTTTATTAGGGATTTTTTTTAGATTATTTTGATCATAAAAGTGCATTTATATATGTAATTCATTTGCAAGTTTATAAGAAAGTAGAGTTCCCTCTTGTTAATTATATAGAACTAATTGTTATAGGCATTGCAATGGTTGTGTCATGCAAAATTGTGGTAAGCTATGACCCTGTGCCTGTGCTTTCAAATAATGCCATGCTATCATCATATCATATGACAAGAACAGAAAATTTCACCAATTTTGGCTCTGTATTGTACCATCAAACAAAATGATGCAACTAAACAAGAAAATTTCACCTTTAAACTAGAAATAAACATTTTTTAATAATTAAAATTGTTATCATTTAAATTTCCTCATTAAGATTATGAGTTCAATATTTATTATTATTACTATTATTATATTTTAATATCAAATTTAAGTTAATATGATTGGCCTAAAACATTTAAGTTGATACCAAAAATATTGTTGAAGCTAGGGGTGTAATCGAGCCGATACAGTGAGAAGCTCGAGCTCGAGCTCGATTCACAATTCACGGCTTGATACTCGGCTCGAATTCAATCGAGTTTTATTTTTCAAGTTCGAGTTCGATTCGTGATCGAATTCGAACTACTCGAGCTCGCTCGATTAATATGTAAAAATAAGATTGATTCGTATACTCAGTAAGAGTTTGATTATTTATGCTCGAATTCGAATTCGAAATATTTTATTAATTAAAATAATAAAAATATATTTAAATATAAAAACTCGATTAGGCTCGCGAGCTATTCGAACCGGATATAAGAATACTCGAATTCGATTCGATTGATAAGTCGAGCTATTCGAGCTCGAACTCGACTCGATAATAATCGAATCGAATTCGAATTTTTTCAAATCGAACTCGAATAACTTACGAATACTAATATATCATTTACATCCCTAATTAAAATATGTATGCATGCATCGTGCATGCATGCATCCATACCTTTTTTCCATGAACAAGAAATGTTGCGACAAAGTACCACGGGAGACCATTAAATAACACAAAAAAATCAAACTTAAAAACAAAAAAGCACTCAAGTATTTTAACCATACACTATTATAGTATTGGACATAAACATGAACCATACTTTCATTTATTATTACTATTTTTTTCTAAAATTTGGTAGGGAGAATCTGACCATGGTCCATGG